AGGTTAAAAGGTTTGAGGACAGAATAATATCTTTTGAGTAATTATTAAAAAAGATACTATCAATATCATTAGTGCCTATGCACCTCAGGTTGGGACAGAGTCACACCTTAAAGATAAGTTCTGGGAAGATATGGAGGGGTTGGTTCAAAGCATACCACTCGGAAAAAAAAATTTTATCAGTGGGGATCTTAATGGACATGTCGATAAGGAAGCACGACAATTCAGTAGGGCCCATGGTGGTTTTGGTTTTGGGGAGCTTAATAGTAGAGGACAATCTATTCTTGACTTTTCTCTTGCATACAATCTCAAGATTGTCAACACTTGTTTTAAGAAGCGAGAGAAGCATTTAATCAAGTACAAGAGTGGTGTCTCAAAATCACATATTGATTTCTTTTTTGTTAAGAATCCGGATAGAAGACTGTGTACTAATTACAAAGTGATCCTGAGAGATAGGGTGACTGCCCAACAGAGTACTTTTCCTTGATGTACGTTTTAAAAGTACCAGGCAAAAGTACCATCAAGTGGTAAAACCCAGGGTTAAGTGGTGGCAGTTAAAGGGTGAGAAGCGAGAGTTATTCAAAAGGATCCTTTTGGAGGAAGGGATTTGAGAGTCACAGGGAAATACAAATATAATGTGGGAAGAGATAGCTACAAGGATTCATTTGGTAGCTGAAGCAATTTTAGGAGAATCTGAAGGTCCTAGTCAGAGAGATAAGGAGACTTGGTGGTGAGATAAAAGTGTGCAAGAGAAAGTCAAACAAAAAAGAGATAGTTTTAAGGCATACATTTGTGCAATAGTATAGAAAACTAGGAAAAGTATCAGTTGGCTAAGAAAGAGACGAAGAGAACAGTGAGCGAAGCACGTATTAAAGCTTATGAGGGGTTTTATCAAGAGTTAGGAACAAAGACGGGAGAAAAAAATATTTACAAGATTGCGAAGCAAAAGGAGAGGAAAAAGAGAGATGTGAACCAAGTGAAGTGTATAAAGGATGAAGATGGTAAAGTACTAGTTACTGATGGTGAAATTAAGGACAGATGGGAGGCTTACTTTTACAAGTTATTTAATGAAGGAAGCAATTATGCGATCAAGACTTACAGGACTTGCTAATTAACGAAGATGATTAGAATTTAGCTTTTTACCGCAAGATCCGTATCGGAGATGTTAAGACAACTCTCAAGAAAATGGACAATGGTAAAACCGTTAGGCCTGATAGTATCTCTATTGAAGTTTAGAAATGTTTAGGCGATGAAGGTGAGGTGTGGCTAACCAAGCTTTTTAATGAAATTTTACGCTCTAAGAATATGCCAGATGATTGGAGGAGAAGCATTTTAGTTCTTGTTTACAAGAATAAAAAAGACATTCAAAACTGTGCAAGTTACAAAGGGATATAAAACTTATGAGTCATACAATAAAGTTGTGGGAAAAAATGATGGAATATAGGTTGAGGCTGGAGACTTCTATTTCAGAAAACCAATTTGGATTTATGCCAGGGAGATCCACATCAGAAGCAATCTATTTACTAAGGGAGTTAATGGAAAGATATAGGAGTAAAAAAAGGGATTTACATATGGGTTTTATTGACCTGGAAAAGACTTATAATCTTGTGCCAAGAGAAGTAATGTGGACAGCTTTAGAAAAGAAAGGTATACGGGTTGCTTATATCAAAGCCATACAAGATATGTATAAGGGGGTAACTACCAGTATAAGGACACCTGGAGGTGAGACAAAGAACTTTCCTATTAAGATTGGCCTACATCAGGGATCCTCTTTGAGTCCATACTTATTCAACATTGTTTTGGATATTCTAACTGAACCTATTCAAGAAAGAATCCCTAATTCTATGCTTTTCGCGAATGACATAGATCTCATGGCGGAATCAAAAGAAGAGATTAACACTAGATTGGAGTTATGGAGAAGGACTTTGGAGTCGAAAGGTTTCTATTTGAGCAGGAACAAAACAAAATATATGCATTGTGATTTTGGAGAGAAGCAAGGCAATGGGGATTTGGAGGTGACGATGGGAGATTAAATCATTCCTCAAGTATCAAAGTTTAAATACCTAGGATCCATTATACACGAAGATGGGGAAATTGATGGAAACGTTTCTCGTAGAATACAAACTGACTGGTTAAAGTGGAGGAAAGCTACCGGAGTTATTTGTGATAAGAAGGTACCTTAGAAGCTCAAAGGAAAATTTTATCAGATTGTCATAAGACCAGCTATGTTGTACGGTAATGAATATTAGGCAATAAAGGGAAAACAAGAGCACAAAGTCAGGGTAGCAGAAATAAGGATGTTGAGATGAATGTGTAGTCATACAAAAAAAGATAGGATTCAAAATAAAAATATCATGACAAGAGTCAGAGTGGCACCTATCCAAGAGAAAATGATTGAAAATCACTTAAGATGGTTTGGACATGTGCAGAGAAGGCCATTGGAGACCCTAGTGAGAAAGGTAGATCAGACAAGATGGAGTCCTATAAAAGGGACAGAGAAAGACCAAGAAGAACACTTAATGAGGTCATTGAACGAGACCTCCTAGTCAACAACATATCCAAGGACTGGGTTGTTGACAGAGCACGATAGCACCGTGTGATTCATGTAACCGACCCCACCTAGTGGGATAGGGCTTGTTGTTGTTGTTGTATTTATCTTGACATACTACCTCTGGTCCTAATTATAAAAGCTAGTTGACTAATTTAAGAAGATTAAGGAAAGAAGTTAAGATAGTTATTTGTAATAAATAGATATTCTGTTCCTAAACTATCCTTGCTAATCAAATGTATTAGCTAGAACTATTATTGTTAGAAGGACTATCTAAAAAAAATACATAAATATTATAAACAAAGTATGTTAGGGTCTTATATTTAGAACCAAAATAAAAATCAAATAATATCTTATTATAAGGACTGAAGGTAGTATCATATATAGATTCATGGTCAAGAAAAGATGTACCATGCATGAATTGGATTTTTTTTTCAAATGATTTTGAGGAGGGATTCTTCTACTCATATAATAAAAAATTCTAATAAACGATATCATTTATTTATTTATAAACTATAATAAATTAAAATAATATGACTCATTTTTTATTATCTTGTGAGGTCCGCGTTAATTTGTTCATACTTTGATGATATGTTGTGAAGTTATGATCTGGGGAAACAAAACACTCTAAATATTTTGCGTTATTTCTGTTTTATTTATTTAGTGTCCTTAGCATTATTATGTAAACACACACACACACACATATCACCGGGAAAAAAATACTACTTGGAAGAAAACTTGCAAATATTCCTAGGACTTCCAAGAAATTCTTCAAAAGCCAAGTAGAGAAGAAAAAATTGCTTGCTGCTGAGGTCGTACACATCTGTCAAGTGAATTTTTGCCCGATTGTGATTTTCATGTCAGCGCTGTCAACGATGATTTTCTCCTTTGCCAACAAAAAATGATACAATATATCTCTACATACAATACAAAATCTAAAAGAATTTGTGTTATTCATAAGCCACAGATATCAGGGCTCGTGTCAAACTCCCCATAAAGCGTGGGTTACAATAATTTAAGTATATGCTCATGCTCAAAGGAACTAAACAAACCTATAATTCACGGGGAGAAAAATTTCTAACTTTTATCTTCAGTGTATAAAAGCCTCCCCCCATGTACTCTTTCAGAACATATCAAAGGTCAAAAAATATATATATATATACACACATGCATTTACCAGACCACAAGAGAACTACATTTTGCTCGCATGTCTTCCGAATAGTGAATGACGACCTTCTGCTATTAATTCTCCAGTTGCTTTATTTTTTAAGTGAACTACTGTTCCAGAATAACCTCCTTTCCGTCCCAAGAGCCTAGAAGTCATGTCTAGTTCATCGTGCAACAGTTAACGCACGCATATGATCACTACATTAAAACACGCTAAACTATGTCTGGCAACCTCCACATGAAGATTCATATCAATAAAATAATTGTCGGTGCGTGTAGCAGAAGGAATGACTAGAAATGAGGGCTTAAAACCTCATAACAGAGTAGGTGCAAAAAGCCAAGACTAAGATAAAGCAAACAATTACAGCAAGAACTCATAGTGATGCACAAATCCCTACCGACAGAAATATCAAAGAAAGAGTTAATAGCATATCTATACAGGAAACGTAGAACAAGTTAACATTCACAGTCGTCAGGTGGATCACTTAAACAATCTAAAAACAATGTGCTTTTTCTTTTTTTCTTTTTCTTTTGGCTTTTTTTTTCTTTTTTGATTGACAACAATGTGGTTTTTCTACATTTACATTAGTAAATACACGTAGTATATTGGGAGTGATAGAAACAAAATCATGGGTACGAAAATCAGATAAGGATCCAAACACCACTTGATGGAAAATTGAAAGCTTAAGATAGGGATAAGAGAGTTTAGGGTTTATTTTATACAAGACTTTCTTTATTTTATTTTGAATTAGGATTTTATCTTAGTTACATTAGTTTAACCTATTAATTATTAATTCTATAATTTGTATCTAGGCTTTATGAATAACTTAGGGCTTCCTCATTTGTCAGACATTTTTGCTCATTAATTCCTCCGTTCTTCTCCTATTCCCCTCCTTCTCCTTCTCCCTCTCCCTCTTTTCCCTTGTCCTACATCACTGCTACATTCTGATATATCTCTCTCCTGGAATGCATAAATGTTAAGGATCCAGATTGAAAAAGTTAGGGACTAGCATAGCTGCATAGGGTATGCTGGGTAGGAGTGAAGTTGGGGTGAAAAATTATCATGTACCAAGAAATTTTGCATAATTTGATACATTTAAATATCCTACTCTTCCCCCATCTGGTACTCCAATTCAGGTCCTTTGCGGGTCAATCTCGCTATAGGCTTAGGCCATTAGTGACTACCCCTGTAATTCAAATCAAACTTCCAAACAGAACTTTTCACAGATTTTCCCTTTAAGCCTCTTACTCTTCCTCCTCTTGCATACTCTCCCCAATTTCAGTTTCACTAGCACAACATAACTACGGTAGAAAGAGAGTAAAACCTGACCTCAAATTGAAAGGCACATATACCAAAAGTAAGTTTCCAGCAAATTCTTGCATTAACATGGGCATTTGAGAGATAAGAAATGGACATGTCAACAGAAACATCCAAGGGGAGACCTTCCAAATGAGCTACAGCACCTCCAAGTTCATCTACAAGGTTAGCTATTGCACCGTTAGGCGTTAGCCAACTTCCCAGTTCTGTCCTGTAGAAGCGAGCCCAATATGTTTCAGATTCTCAAATATTTTCATAAAATAATTTCAGGGAACCCAAAAAATAAAATAAAATTGCAAAAGCAGTAACTCCTGTCCCATAAGAGACTTGTACCTACAGCCAAAATTCATTAAGGATTAGGAGATTACTCATTATTCTGAATGATTTCCCCATTATATCGGCAACTTTTCCTACCAAGAAGCAAAAGTAACAAATAAAATTGCAGAGAACAACACGAATTAGCGCATATCCACAGTAGCAATTAGTCACTAAAGAACACAAATCCAGCCTAAACACTCCTATTGAGAACTAAAACCACTGAACTGAGTCTAACAATCAAATGAATGATAATTTTCCAATGTGGTAAATCAGCAAAAATTATGAATGCGAGAAATGCATTATGAAAGAGTAGAATAGTTTGAAAAAAAAGAGGGATAAGAAAACAGAAATCTATGAAGGAAGAATCGAAGGATGAGGCATGTTACAGTGAGACGGGGAGGGACTTCGAAGGTACAAACAACGAGACTGGGTTCGACTTGATCCACTTGGATGCCTCCGAGGATGAACTGCCGGCATAAACAGAATGTTGGGTGAGGCGTGAGAGGAGGAAGGTGGTGTGACAGGGATTGCGATTCCTCAGAGGTGACTTGCAGGCTGCAGCAATTCCTTCGCCTTCTCCGTCTTCACTTCAGTACCGTCAATTTGGGTAGGTGGCACCTCCTTGAAGGCAGTAATGTTAAAAAACAACTACTTAACAGCAGTTTTTTTTTTAATAATTTTAATTAAATCAAGACAAAATTTTTCTTAAACACTAAAATCACTCCTTCGAACACTCTCTAAATCAATTATTATTAAAGGCAATAATAATAATAATAAATACCTGCATCCAGGGGAATTGCCAAGGAAATGCCGGAATGCAAATTTCTGGGGTAATATTGTCATACTAATAAATAACTTGTTGATTTAAACATTTTGGGTTACTGTAAAACTATAGTACTGCTAGCACTGTTTCAAAGACAACTTAAATTTTTGTTACAAAGATTGCATTGAAATTAGTTTTTATTTAATATGATCTATTCAATTACACTCAATGCATTTCAATAAAGTGCTATAATATATAATATGAAAAATTGCTTAGTATTAGGAATAGGAAATTTTTTGTGGTTAATTTGACATTGATTAACGCTAATCCATTCATAATAATGAAATTATTCTAACATAATGATAAACTGATAAGGTAAGTTATTTGTTAGGAAAAATGACAAATAAAGACCTTCAAATTATCAAAATTACACAGAAGTCTCCTGAACAAGTAAAATTACTATAAAGGACCCAATCTCATATTACAAATATAAAATCTTAACGAAATGTCTGAAATGCCTCTTAGCTAAGTTGTGATTTGATTTCTTGAAGTTGTCTGTTGCTAAAGTAAACTTATTATTTCTTATAGTCAACTTGTCATTTGACATACTTTCAACTAAATTGTGATTTGATCTATTGAAATTGTCATTCATTAAAATGAATTTATCATTTCTTATAGTCAACTTGTCATTTGGCTTAAGAGCATTTCAGACATTTCACTAAGATTTTATATTTACAATATGAGACTGGATCTCTCATGGTAATTTTACTTATTCAGGTGACCTCTGCGTAATTTTGGTAATTTGGGAGGCCTTTACTTGTGATTTTCCCTATTTGTTATTTTAGTTTTACAAAACCTAATATCATAATGGCTTATTTACATATGAAAAGTTGTATATACCACTTTAATTAGTTTGTATCTATCCCTTTAAAAATTAATATTTATTTTTTTCGTTTTGTATGATTTGAACTGTGGCAAGTGATTTTACTTTTCCATAAAAAATGATGCTTATGGAGCAATCCGAACACAAAAAGATATCATATACTACCTCTAATCCTAAATATTCGGAACACAAAAAGATATCATGCGCTACCTCTAGTTCTAAATATAAGATATGATTTGTAATGCAATTTATATTATAGACTAAATTTTATACTTAGCACCAGAGGTAGTAAATGCTTTTACAATACGATCTCTCCCGCTGTAGAAAATCAAATGGGCCTAAAGTTATGATAAAAACTTTTAAAGAAATCATAACACATATCGTACTCAATGTTAGTCTCGCAGTTCCATTCATGCAGCATTTTGAAAACTAATCTATGAATTTGCATGAGCTTTCTCACATGCACTGGAGGATAAAATACTAATGGACAGAGGAACATAATTCAATATTGACACCAACCCTAATTTTGGTCTAACATGAGCAGGATGCTTCAACGATATTTTGTTACTCCAGTACTCAAATCAGATGGATAATTTTGTTTCAGCCTTACAGAACACTGAAACAAAGCGAAAATGAAACAAAGCCATACTTCTAAACACTGAAATAACAGAACAAATCCTCAGAGAATCTTATTCATATGGACACTATCATTCCTATACTAAAGCAGGACTTTTGTTCCCAAACTTATTTGCCTCTGCACTTTTAACCCAGTTTTTAGCGAAGAGGACCAACCGGTCTTTTATATTTATACAACCTTGCCACCAGCAGGAAAGCTACCAAATTCAGAACACTTAGCACAGCCAATAACCAGAAGAAATAGTCGATATGACCATAGTTCAGATTGTCAGGTATCCATCCAGGACTGCCATTTTTGGTACTGATATTCGTGACAATCGTCACTAGGAGCGAGCTCAGGTATTGTCCAAGTGCGACAGTGAGCAATGAGAGAGCAGAACACAAGCTTCTCATGGCATCAGGTGCTTGCTCATAGAAGAACTCCAGCTGACCAATGAATGTGAAGACTTCTGCACACCCTATGATAAAATACTGGGGAACCTGCCAGAAGATCGACAGGGGAATCTGGTTGAGTTCATAGTAATTGTGGCGTCTCACCATTCTAAGTCTTACGAGCTCCAGAACTCCGGCTGAGAGCATGGAAAATATGGATATGAAGAGGCCAATGCCCATTCTTTGAAGCTGAGTTATTCCGCTTTTGTGTCCAGTGAACTTTCGAGCAACTGGCACAATAATCTGATCATACACTGGGACCCAAAAGATTACGCTAATGGTGTCAAAGATTGAAAGAGATGCTGGTGGGATCTTAAAGGAGGATTTGCCAAAATGAGGATCCATTGTTGCCCCTTGCAACACAAATAAGGTGCTCATCTGACCATAGACAGTAGCAAAGATGATACCAGTGGCCCATACAGGAAGCAGTCTTATGATAGCTTTCAGCTCTTCCACTTGAGTCACAGTGCAAAGTCTCCAAGGGTTTGCTGGGCTCTTCACACTATCTGATTGCTCTGGCACAGCTGCTTTGTCAAAGAAGCTGAGACATCCAACAAAAGTGAATATATACCACGTAAGCCAAGAAACACATTGGATAGTCATATTCTGTTCTTTAATACTTTTTTTTTTTATCAATGAAGCTAACACAAAACAAATGACAATACTCATCCAAATTTCAGTAACAGCACCTGAGGTGGCATGAAAGCTGACTATATCACTATTTCCCTATGTTTTACAAATCAACAAACAGAAAACATTAAATAATCAAGTGATAGACTTAGGTAAAGACTCTTGGGTTTGTTTTTCATGTTGTCCAACAAAAAATAAGATATATGGAAGTTTTTTCTTTTTTTGTTGGCAGGGCAGCACATAATCACGTGTCATTGAGTTGTTAAAAAAAAAAATCCACTAATTATACTCTTATTAGAAATCCTGATAATGAACCCACTAATCAATTACAAAGTTCATTTTGATTGGTTTACCTTAATCCTTTCGAGTGATCAAGCTTGCGGCTTCCTTGGATAACAGATTCTGTATCTGCTATCTCATATAAAAGAGACTTGTCTTCAGGCACTTGTACTTTGTACTTTCTTATGGATGCAGCAATGACTTGACAGATTCGCGTGAGGGGGCTGCCTCCAGGCTTCTGGTTTCGGTACAATCTAGTTCCTGAAAAGAAACTCACCACAGCTATTGCCATGGTCACTGCAGGAATTCCGAAACCCCATCCCCAACCCACATTATCTTGCACCCAAACCAGTAAAGAAGAAGCAATAAGAGCACCAATATTAATTGAGAAATAGAACCAATTGAAGAAAGAACTCTTGTGTTCCTTCTCAACCTCATCAGCGTCATCAAACTGATCTGCTCCATATGATGACACACAAGGTTTAATTCCACCAGTGCCAAGAGCTATGAGGTAGAGTGCTACGAAGCACACTGCGCTCTGTGCATCAGTAGCATGACAATTGTCTTCACCATGACAGGTTGGCTTTATGCCAGGGACTGATGCAGACAATGTCAAGAGTGTCATTCCCTGTGTACATAGGGGAATCTTTTTTAGCTGTCTAAAGCAAGAAGATAGAATCAATATCAATATGAAATATATATCTGCATCGTACCATTCATAACCCATAAACAATTCTGCTTACCACATATTCATATGAGAAAATGCGCCCATTTTATTATTAACTTTTTACAAGTTTGAACACGTAATTAACCTTATTACAGAAGCCAATAGTTAGTTTTCTTCATCCTGAGTTAGTTATATGCATGTGTGATGCTTAAGTGATCAATATCAAAGCTAAAAATTTCAACCTCGAATTGGCAGCAGCGGAGAAACCATCTTTGAGACAAAGCATTAGCGCCAGATTATGGAAAAACCATATTTGAGACAAACCTATGCTTAAGTAATCAAGTACAGTACTGGAGAAACCATACTCACAATAACGTAGATTATGGAGAAACTAGCAATAGTCCAATATCTCCCCAGATAGGCATCAGCCAAAAATGCTCCAATCAATGGTGTGATATAGCATGTCCCACTCCAATCTGAGACGTTCTTGGAAGCAGTAGCACTATGCTCATGCAGCCTCTTCTTAAAATAAAGCACCAGATTTGTGCTCATCCCATAGTATGCCAATCTCTCACAACATTCATTTCCTGTTAATTAATTGAAGCATAAAACTTTAAGGATCTCAGAATATCAAATATTGCATTCCAATAACACCACACCATAGTTACCTAAAATAAAGGGACAGGCCTTCCAGGTCCCAGTTTTCTTCTTATTTGCTGGATTTCCGCGGAAATCTACAGTTCCATCTTTTGTATAAACTTCATCTTCTGCCATTGTTATTCAGAATTGGCACGCACCAGGTAATTTGCGCAGATGAGGTATTCACTTGCAATCGTGCCGCACAGGAATCAAAATACTATATAGGAAAAAGCAAGGAGATTATTAATTATTCACCCAGTCTTCTAAAAAATACAATGATATGGTGAAAATCAAGCGACCAAACTAGAAATGACTAGAACGAAGTGGTCCTTGTTTAAAGAAAAATGACTTCTCTGGAGCCACTCTAGCCGAAACCTAAAATAATCCATTTGTTTCTCATGTTTAGCTGTGTATCAATTCTTAACCTCCTTCAGGAGTTCAGAATTGAAATTTAATTGCAAATCACTCTTACAACCCAAGACAACTTCTAACAGGATCCGAAGCAAGAATAGTTAAAAAGCACATCAGGATATTAAGAAGCAAAATCTCAGAGAATTTCCACTTGAATCCGCTGAAAGG